TTCATTTTTGTTCTCATGGACAATAAAGTTGTATTTCTTTAATCACTGCTGCTTTGTTTTTGTTTTTTTTAACCAATCATGGCTCTCCACAGATTTCTTTTCTTTATTATCTGGGAATTGCTGTAACTTCTTGGGATAGGGAAGTGGTTTCTTGTCATCTTTTCTAGACTGAAGAGATAAATTGGTGCCTTTTCCAAGGGCATCAGCATAAAAACTGTAATTTGAATTTGGTTTGCCAATTCCACTCTTCATACTGATAACTGGTATGCTACTTGCACACCCTTACCATAGTCATTCCATGTCAAATCAACAAGCATCTGACCATCACTGACATAGATTTTTTTTTTCAAATTTGGTACACTTATAGAGCTTCATGATAGAAATTGAATGGTACCTATTTTACATCTCTAGGTCAAAGGGTCCCCACAATATGAATCTTTGACCCTTGCCAAAAAAGGTGAATTTTGAAAAATAGTCAATTTAACATGGGTTTGTAGGATAGAATGAATTTTAAGTTTCAGAATTTTTTTTTTTTAGTCTGTTGGATGATAAAGTAATGCTTTATTCCGACGTTTTTTGTTCAATCAAATTTTAATTGGGAAGTAGATGTGGATTGTTTGGACAAACCAACTTCCCCAAAATCAAGTTATACCATATTAACTGAAAATTCTTTAAAGTTTGAATATTTTATTTTGCATGCTGACTTATTTTAAAATTTAATTCTTAATTTTTACCCCCTTTACCTTTTTAAGGCTTTTACAAATATTGGATTTAAAAACATACTTTCCTGCTAGATTTTTTTTTTTACACATGGGAAAAAAACACTTGCTAAAATAAGTAGATCAGGATAAAAGCATTTTATTTTGCATTGTTGTGATAACATGATGATAAACAGGTTTTTTGTATTTTTTTTTTTTTTTTTTTTTAATGCTTATATTAAATGTGGATCTGACAAGGTGACAATCACAATTGCAGCTGAATTTTTTTTTTGTGGAGAAAAAAAACAAAAAAAAAACAACTAACTTTAAAAAGGGGATAAAAAAACATCCTTCCAATTCATGATAAAAAGTTCACAACATATTGCATTTATATTTTTCATCAAAATGGAGTTCTAGTTAATTTAACCATCAAAGTTAAAATTAGAGATCCATTGAGATTTTAACAAGCTTCTACTACTACCTTCTTTTCTCATGGATTACTATATACATTTCAATGTACTTCTTACAATGAAGAACTTTGAACATTAATCACAACTAATGTAGTTTATCAAAAACAACAATTTAACTTTATTAACGAGTATTTTAATGACAATCTCTTAACTATTTTGAACCAAGTCAACCATGCTAGTTTAATGATAAAATATCATGAATTTGTATTTTAGTTTTAAGCAGGAAATGATAATCATTGAGAGTGACTTAATGAAGAAACTTTTTGGAAACTTGGGTGAGCCAAAGTCGGAGTGCTTTCTGATTGGTATTTGACAACCAATACCAATTCATTAGAGACATTGTTTCATTTTTAATGACAAACCCTATAAAACAATTCTCAAGATTTTAAATATAACACTTTAAAAACTTTATGAATAAATTAAAATTTGATAATTACTTATTTGCCTTTCCCAGCATTGTCCAATGATCTCTGTGGGTCAAGCCTAAGCATGTCTTATGCGAAAGTGTTAAAATACCAATCATCCCTTAGAAGAGGAACCAGTTATAAAGTTGAACTTCTAGCCATAATTATATTTAATGTATATTTTTGTGGAGGATTGTAGTTTTTAGTGTTACAGCTCCTGTAAATACAAACCATTTCATAGATACTTTTTCCATAAGTTTCTTAAAGTTTGTATTATTCTAAACAAGTTTTGTCTAATTTTTTTATGGTATTTTTCTAATTTTCAAATAAGATGAATATCAGTTTAAATTTTAGATAAACTGTCTTAAGTTTATGTTTGTTCTGATGTTTTATTCAACTATTTTCAACCATCATCATTATCAAGAACCATGTGCTACCAGTGTGATAGGCAAGGTTCCATTGGCTACATCCTATTTATAAAGAGCTAAAAATTTCAAACAGTTCAAAGTGACATGTATAATGTTAAAATTAGGGACTTCCTAAAATAAAGTTTAAAATTAATTTTTTAAAAATGAAAAAGCATTCTTGAAGCTCTGTTTTTAGATTTAATTGAAAGCTCAATGATTAAATTTACTATTTCCAGTAAGCAAAATACTCTGGTGTATTTCAAAGAGAAATTATATTGATTAGAATCTCAACTTTTTCTTTGCTATCAGAAATCATTTATAAATGTGTCAAAAATGGCTGAATTTATAAAAAGTTAATTCTCAGTTTTAAAAAATAAAATATATTTTTCTGAAACTTTATCAAATGAATATTAGCTGATTTAAAGTCTGTGATTTAAAAAAAAAAAAATTTTTTTTTTCAAAAAATAATTTCATTCATTTTTGAATAAGTCCTGACAATTTGTATTTTTGCAAGAATTTTCAAATCATTGTGTTTTACACCAGGAAAAAGTGGAAATCACTAATAAATATTACATCAACCACTGATGTTTTAAAAAAAAAAAAAAAAAAATTTTTTTTAACCAAAATCTCAAGCTTGCTAGAAAGGATTAAAAAAAATAATTAAGAAATACTTTGGTCTTTCCTCTTAATAATAAATATTTTGATAAAACTTTTTAAGTTTGTGGCCTTTTTCGTCATGCTATACTGTTTTTCAGCGAAAAGTGGAGGTACCTAGTTAAAAGGAGTGAGATTGCACTACAAAGAATAGATCAAATATTATGCAGATATTTTTATTATTATTGTCATTTTTTTCAAGGTACTGTCTCCTTTGATGAAAGATATTTAATGTGTTATTTATTTTGTATAATAGCTTCTAGGATTCTGAGTATTTCTTTGCATTGAGTGATATATAGTATTATTATATTTATTAATATTTGTCTTTTGGTTGTTTATATGAACGATATTTTTATACTAATTTAAAGTTTTCTACATAATGTAGAAATTAGATGAAGTAAATCTAAGAGGTGAATCCATTGCTGTTGCTATAATGATTGTAAAAAAGGTATTTGCATCATGCAAGGTAGAAGTTTACATAAGATTGTTGGTCTAATTTTAGAGAGTGATTGTATATGGTCTGTACAAATATTAGTAGATTATACCAAAATACACTACAGTACCCAATACAAGGTTTTATGCAAAATAATATAAAATAGATTTAACATGGGCAATTTAAGTAGAAAGATAAAATATGTTTAAGTTATACAGATATCGTCAGTTACTATACAAATTTGATCTTTTTATTAAAAGATATAATTATTGATCTTATTGTGTTAAAGAAATTTATCTTCACCTTATACTCCAAGGACATAAAGATGGAAGTATACCAAAAACAATAGTTTCTTATATAAAGTCAGATGAAAGCCATTTCTTAAACCATATAACATTCAACAAAGAAAGCAGTGAACAGTTAGGTGGGAGACAAATCCTTGGAGTTTTGACAGGTATGAATTGTAAGATGTCCTATCCAAAATTCCCTGCAAAGCTAGTGGAGTGTCAATTTAGAGTAAAAAAAAAAAAAAAAAAAAAAAATGTTATTGTTAGGTGATGATTATTTGGATAAAAACAGAACCATTTCCCTAGAGAGAGTTCTAAGATTGTAAAACAAAGGAGAATGTTGAAGAAGAAAAAAAATTAACTAAATTTTAAGTCGTATTACAAAATCTTTAATTTCTTATTGAATTAAAGTCACTTATTTGAAAATAAAGGTGTGTATTTACTTTTGTCTATATTTTCAACTTTCTTTTTTTCATTATAGGTATTTATAGATAAAGGAAAAAAAAATGGATTCCAACAAAGAAAGTCTCAGTGCTTCTCGTGAAGCAATGGACATCCTTATGCTTCTGTCAAATGTCCTCAATACTGACCTGGACTCTGAAACTCTTTCTATTTGCATTCAACTGTGTGAGGCTGGAGTCAACCCTGACGCCTTGGCAGTTGTTATCAAAGAATTACGAGGAGCAAAACAGCAGAGAGCCAAATCATCAAGTTGATATCTGATAAATTAACATTTTGATAGGGGAAGACTTTGGTAAAATGCTTGTTATTTTCATAACAGCATGTTAAATTTTTCCGATTAAAAACAAAACAAAAAAAAAAACAACAAACACATGGAAATCCATGAGTTTTAGCCAGTTGATTTAGTGTGAATAAAAGAAAAATTTAATAATTTTTTAAATTACTGACTTTATTTTGGAAAACATTTTTTCTTTTTTATCAAAATGGAGAGAGGAAAAAATGCTTGTAAAAGATGCAGAAATTTAATAACATTAGCTCTGAGTCTTTGATGGTTCTTACATGGTCCCTGGAACTGGTATTCAAGGAAAAAGAAATTGAAATTTACCTATATTTTCAAGTTTTCTTTCTTTATTCCAGTTTGATGATTTCCTAAATTTTTCATGCCTTTTGCAAACTCAATACTTTTTGTTTTTATTTGTCCATTTCAGTAGCTACTTTTTTTTTTTGCTTTTTAATTTGATAAAAATTAATATTTTATAAAAAAGAAAAGCAATAAAATAGATTAAAAGTATGTTTCTAATTAGCCAATATTACTCAGTGATGTGTAGAAACTTGAAAATTAAAAAAAATATTTCTGTATAATAAATGAAAAAAATATAGTGAGCAGTAGAGATGAAGAAATAAAGACAAAAATGTTCACAACATTATATAAGGCTCTTATATATTTTTTTAAACACCCTGGAGAGAGAGATTGCTGTCTTTTCTTCATTTAGTACCAATACCAAGAAATTTGGTGATAAAGAAAATAAAATCACAATCCAAAAGTATTGCAGATTTTGCAAGACTGACCACAGAAGGAAAACTTATTTTCAAAAGTTTTTTTTCTTCTTTGGGGAGTGGGGGTGGTTATGGCCTTTAGTCCAATACTCTAACCCAGAGTATGCACATGTGAAAGAATATATACTGTTATGCAGTTTTGCTGAGTATATGTTGAATGTCTTTTGTCATCATTGACCCAATCACCAACTTTTCACAATTCACTGTTACTTTAGCTGTGCCTTCCTCACTATTGGCTTGAACTGTAATTAAAAGTAGCACTTGGGTAGCCAGAGTTTTGCCTGCAAAATAATAGACATTTTCATCCGCTGAAGGTACTTGCAGGACATTGGTCACTTGGTGGATACACATACGCAGGGACTCAGCAGTACGATGGTTTGGGGCCAGCTCCACATTGACACTGTTCTCAGTCATACCAGTCAGTTTACCTGCATTACAAAACCAAGCAATTAATATCAAAATTGTCTTTCAGTTCCTTTTAGTAACTTAAAAAAAAAATACAGTCGCAAAAAGGAGAACCACTGCAAGTTCTCAAGCAAATCAGCCTGATTTAATAGACTAATAATAAATTATTGTGACAACAAAAATGATCCCTGATTAACAAATAAAATTGTCACTTAGCTGATTGCTGCTATATTCAGCACCTTGACTCCAGAATTTCACATACACATGAATAATTCACTTTTTCAAACTGTGTTTCAATTGATACCTTTTTATGTACTGATCATATTTTTCTTTAATTCACTAAAAAATCTGACAAAGACTGGGTATAAAAAAGGTGTCCATGAAACCCAGAGTGTGGATAAGTTAAGTGATTTATTTTATTATATTAATAATTATTGTTCTATCTCTATATTGAGCTCTTTATTTCCAAAGACTGCTTGCCTGGGATGTGTTGTCTTCCAGAAATTGCTCTGGTTGATCACATTTTGGAGGGTAAAATAAGTCTCTTATATAAAATTATTGAGTTTCCAAAACTGAAATGAAAAGTAAATAGCTTACTTTTTTGTAACTTAAATTCACTTTCATTGATTGTGTAAGGCTGCAGCAGTTCACCAACAGGTGCAGATATTTTCACATTGTACTTTAAGTCTCCAGCACAAAGTTCGAACTGGGCAGGTTGGGTTGTGTCATTAAAGTTGATGGCCATCAAAACTGAAGTTGTAGCACCTACAGCCAGGACATCTGCAATAACAATTTTATTTGAGAAAGAAAAAATTTGGAAAATACTCTGGAAAGAAGTGCTTTGAAAGTAAAATGGAGATACCAAATTTATCAATTACGTGATCATTTTTGTAGATAAAAGGCTTAAATATATTTTAATGTTTCTCTACAATGCAATACACTTCTCACTTTACAACAAAACCTTATAATGAAAAGTATTAAAACAAAAAAGAAGAAAATTTTTCTTATTTAAAACATTTTCTGTTTACTTTTCCTCCTTTTTTTTTTTTATCCTACATCTTTCATCCGAGTGTATTTAATGGTGGATAGATAAAGAATAAAGTATTCAACTAGAAAATCTAAATATTTGAAAGCACTCAAAAGTCAATAAAATCTGATTTACCATCTGAATAGCCAAAGAACTTACGTCACAATAAAAAAAAATATCAAGTTGGTTGATTATGACTTGGACAGAGTTCTTCAATAAGACAAAATTATGAAAGTATTATATATGTGGTTTTAGCAAAATAGAATATCAAAACTTGTATTTTCTTTACTGCAGTAACTGAAATATGGACTTATTTGATGACCACTTCTTAAAAATAAAATCAGTATTTGTTAAACTGAGCATAAAAGGCACATATTGAATAGTTCTGTCAGGTTAGAATTGCAAATGGACTAGCACATAAGGAAGACAATTGCTTCCATAGCAATATTCCATGCCTTTAATAAAATGAAAGTATCTCCAAATTCAGATATTTTAATCAAAAGACTGAATAGATCTTGTTTATATCTTTACACATTTATACAATCACCACAAGAGCCAATAAATTCAGTTTCAATTCAAGAAAGAACCAAAGCAGAAGCTGAAGACTCAATCAAAACTATTATTCTGTTTACTGTTATGCAATTTTAGTATAAGGCTTTAAGAGAAAAACAAAAGTCTACTTTCATGTAATCCATACTTTTCATAAGCTACATGACTATGAACAGTAAAATATAATGTTGCTTGGTCCTGAGTTGTGGAGTACAAAGGCCTCCACCTACTGCAAATACCTCCTACACCATTTAAAGTGAAGACAAACATTCAGAGAGACCACTTCTTAGATTACCAAGCTATGATTTTTGTAACCTTGTCTTAGTTGGACTGTCTGACAGGTCTGAATAGTTCCAACTATCCTGTTGGGAAGTAGGGAGTAATATCTTATCTGACTTATTAAGAGAAGTGCATTCATGCCTTTTCCAACAGTAATCTTACAAAATGGACACAAACTGCCTTAGCCAGAATTTGAACTCTGTTCACTAATTCTATTTTTATTTTCTGATAACTTATGCTATTCCACACCTCCAGAAATAGAATAAAACTAGTATAAGGATAAAGAAAACAAAAACTTACTAATATCAGGAAAATTATGAATTTCCATTCCTGGCTGAGCTTTCTGGAAAATATAAATCAAATAACAAAATATAGGAAAAGTCATTAAAAATAAAAATTCTTTGCTGTTCATTAAATCACAAAGTTTTTAAATGTTAAGATGAAATTAAATTTTCACATTTTGTATTTAATTCTTGGATTCCCAATCAGTGGACTTACTTTTTCACAAAAATCAAACAATTCTTGTGAGTAAAATTATTTTATTAAGCCACTGTTATTCAGAGAACTTAAAATAATTACTTGTGATACTATGGACACCTACATAGAAAGGGAAGAGGTGATTTTTATCTCCATCTCAAGCATTTCAGTTTTGATAGACCAGTGGATAGTACTTTTTGAAGTTTGTGTTCTTATTTCTCAATGTGGCATTTCTTTCATCGAGTTACCTTGTAAACATGCAGTGCACTCTTCCTCAGCTTTTGGCATATACCGACTAGATTGAGAATTGGAATGCAACATTGGCTGGTCAGTGTGAAGCTTGGGTGAGAGTCACATTATCTTTACAAGTTGGTTATTTATTTTAGTGCATCATTTTACAATTATTATCACATGATGTAAATAATAGTCAGTTCATTATTTAAACAAGTTAGCTATAAATAATCAACAGTGCCTTTTTATAGCTATCTGTCTCTTATATTATTGCCAACCCAACTAAGACTTTTTACATTTACATAAGTGCTGTGTAATTTGTTGCATTTTTATTATTATACGCTTTATTTCTCAGAAATATCAAATTTAGATTCTTTGCATCATAATATTACTATTGGTTCATACACTTTCTATAAAAGATTAACTTGTTTTGTATACTTGTGTAAGAAAAGGAAAAATCAGACAAAAATAAAGGAAAAATAGGTTTTCTGACAATGTATTTTCTATATAGAGAATATTGAGTATGGGAATCAATAAACTGGTGTGAAATCAAAGTAAAAAGTTTATATTTCTGCAATTTTTTTTTTTTATACAAATTTTAGTATTTTACTTACCTTTGTTCCAATTTTTATATTGGTCATTGGTTTCTCACTGTCATTAGTTATGGTCAACTCAATAGAGGTCATTTTTGGATTGAAGATGGAGATGGTTCGAGTGAAACAGTATTTCACTGTTAAACCATTGGCTGTCATGCGATTCAATAGGTCATAAGATTTGCTGGGCACAATTGGAGGTCCAAGTGTCTAGTTGAGAAAAAAAAGCAATATTCACAAACTATTCTTTATCCCTTATCTTATAATTAAAGTGTAAACAGAGTATTATGAAACAAGAAAATTTCATTAGAAACAGTAAAAGAGGACTGAACTGCTATGTAATATCAGTTTTTCTATATGACAGTGAATGCTGGACAATTTCCTCACAGATGAAGATACTTGAAGCTATAGAGACATAGTTCTACAGAAGGATGCTGAGAATACCATGGATAGAGCACAAGAGAGTTTTAAAGAAAATGGGAGCATAGAAAGATACAATTGAAATTTCAGGGATTCATAATGAGGAAAGAGGGTTTGAAAAATTTGACACTCAGAGGACATGATAGCAAGAAGAGCAGAGGGAAACAGCTTATAGCTAGCAGAACAGGAAGTGGAAGGGATGTTAAAAAGACTAACATTGTTAAAAGATAGAAAATTGTGATGGGTCATCATTGAATACATCGTGAAGGGACAGCACAAAAGATCTTGAATATGTAATCAAATATTTGTGCCTTTGTCAGAAGAAATAAAATAATTAAATGCATACAGTCCATAATTTCAAGTTGATAAATGTTAGATTGAAAAAATAAACGTGTGTGCATACAAAAGAAAATCAGCAAGTTAAAAATCACATTTCATTACAGATTATGCAAGGTATTTTATGACTACTTGAACAATTCTAAAAGTAAATGCCAAAACTTGACATTTTATTCAAAATCCAAGCCAAACTTTAAATTTACTGAACAATTACAAGCAAACTAGTTGAAGAGGAAGATTATAACTTGATAAAGTAAAACAAACCAATTTCAGGTTTTGATCTGTTAAAACAGGATCAAGAGTGTTTAAATATAAATAGATATATTGTTTTATGAACGGACAATAACTAAAAAGAATTTAAATGGGAAAGAACTGCATTCTGTATATATCTATTTAGTTTGGTTTCAAATAATCTTTATATTCAAGTAAGGAAAGACTTACATAATTTACTGTGGGCTTTACAGATGGTGCAGGAGTGGACAGGTCAAGAGATGCTAACATTGGTGTGAGGATGTCTTGTCCAGCACTTGGGGTTGCTGCAATCACAGAATTATTATCCACAGAACACACTGAAATAAATAAAAACAGATATTAAAGAAAAACTTTTAATCAATAGTTTGATAAAAAATAGTTAAAAAGCTAACCAGAGGAAAATTGGCCATATGGGGACAGGAAATTAGAAAAAAAACTGACCAACAAGGAAATTTAGCTTTTCTTTCAAACTCAGTTTTTAATAATTTTATATTTTATAGACATGATGTTGTGGAGTAGTCATTCTATTCAGATAGATTTGCTTTTCATATCCAATATGGATGAGGCTCAAAAAACCTAACAAATACTATGAGGAGTATTTGCATATATGCATGTAAACCAAAGGAAAAACAGTAATGGACACCACATACAAATCCAGACAAGAGTTTATATACATTTAATCAGTATGCTAAGAGTTTATATTAAGTATGTCCACTGTTTTCGCGGAAAAACAGCATAGCGTAAATGAAAAAGCCACAAACTTAAAGAAAAAGTATTATCGTCAAGATGAAAGAAAAAAGAAATTTTAATTATTTTTTGAAATTTTTTAATATTTTCTAACACGTTCGAAATTTTGGTTAAAGTTGTCTTTGTTTACGTCATCGTGGTGACGTTTAAAATAACAGTTTTTTTTTTGCGTTTTTTTTCCCGTTGAAAACATATTGATTTGGAAATTCTTGTAAAAATAAAATAATTGTCTGATCTTAATGAAATTTTCAGGACTTATTCACAAATGGATGAAATTATTTTTGAAATATTTTGTTTTTAGAAAATTTTGGTAAAACATTTTTTTTTAAATATGTTACCCCTCACTTAATTAATTTCATGAAAATTTGCCCAAAACCTTTTTGGCTCCTCAATTTTATTTTTTTGTTAAAAGGAGTCTTTGGAGATGGTAAATAACCTACTTTTTTTTTTCCAAATTTGAGCTACTTAACTGAAAATCTTGTCTGAATTGAAAAATAATGAATCCAATAAAACTATGATATTACTTAATTAGAAAAGCTTTTAATTGCTTTTGTAAATAAGTAATATTAAGACATTATTGTCTGAAGAAATAATTTTTTCTGATGAATAATTAATTTTACAGGAATTTTTCGTTTTTTAAGAAATTTTAATTATAATAATTTATAATAGTTTAACATCGTGTAAAGCTCTGTATTAGGAGGGCTCCTCAATATTATGTAGTAATTAAGTAGAAAATAAATTTAGTTGCGCTACTTTTTTTAAAAATAATTTTTTATGTTGTATTTTTTTTACATTAAGTAAAAAAATACAACATAAAAAATTATTCCTTATTTCCATGTATGATATACAGAAATTGCCATTATTATAACAAGGTCACGTGATCTAAGGGTTTTGTCCCTTTACGTGGCCTTTTCAAAACATTTCGTTTCTTACAGATTGTATTTTCCATTCAGCTTTAAAAGTGTAAACTTTAAATTATTTTTTATTTTTTTCATTTACTATTTCACTAAATAATTTTATTTTATGTATTGTATTTCCATTAGTGTGTGTCATAATCAAATAGAATAATTATTTTAAAAACTCAGACTTAAAAATTATGTCATTTATGGTCATCAGTAGTAGCTGTCATCGGCTCGTCATTCAACACTCATCAATAGATCGAACAGATGAAACAGACCGCTCGTTAATAATTGGTTGTATATTATTTTTTTATGCTATAAGTAACAAAGATTTCTTTGAAATCACATTACTTTAACTTTAAATTTTTTAATTTTACTAAAATAACGTGTCAGAATTTTTTAAAAATATTTTAAAAATCGATAAATTTGTGTTTGTTTACAAATTTCTTAAAATTAAGAAAATGGCCGTTTTTAAGAAAATTTAAAAATTTGAAATTAAATTTGACAATCAAATGTATATAGTTTCTATCTGAAATACACCAGAATTGTTTAATTAATAGAAATCATAAATTTAATTATTAAACTTTCAATTAAAGCTAAAATGAAATCTTCAAGAATGTTTTTTCGTTGTAAAAAATTCATTTTAAACTTCAATATAGAAAATTTATGCCGAAATAGTGGAGGTACTTAGTTTATATACATTTAATCAGTGTGCCATCATTCAAGAAAGAGAAAATAAATGTGTTTTAAAAATTTTGAAATAAAGAAACTTTACTTATATGCTAGTGGTAAAAAAGGAAATACATTCTTTTGCTTTTTAGCCCCAAATTGATACTTTTTCAACTTGTCTGCTGATAGATGTTTATCTACATCGTTTCATTTTGAATCCATGATTTTAATTTGAGATTATATATCTCTATCCTTTTGTCTTAAGACCAAAACAGTTACTTTTTCTCTAACCAGATCCTACTGCTTCTATTTAGCAGGTCAATTATTAATTGGTCTAACTTTCAGTAATTCAGCACCAGAGAGTCCAATCTGATTAGAACACACATCACTAGTCTCAAAAGGGTTTTCACAGCAAGCTGTTGGTCCTACTTTTTGATTCTAGGGAGAGTGATTGGTGGCCTCACCATAGAAGTTAGTTTTATGAATTCTTGTGATGAAATTGCAAGATTTCAATTTGCTATTCTATTTTTATACTGAATTTATAGCACAGAAGTGAATCCAAGAGTTAATCTGCCATTTGAATCCAAGATTTATGATCAATATTGCAATTTAGTAGCCTTTAAAGGGAATTTCAAAAAATAAAAATAAACCTCTTTTCATGTATTACATTGAGTCTAAGGAGTCAAGTAGGAGACTTAGCAATGACTCAGAGATTAGGATGAGTTAGAGATGAGCTGTACTCAAAAATGTATTATGTAAAGCCAAACAATATGATGTTTATTTTTATTGATGAATTTCAAACACAGCTTAACATAGGCTTTGTGAATCTTGATTAAATGAACAGTTTATAATAAGAGAAACCTTGAAATTCTGCTTCATACTTACAATCATCAATGTCAAGAAGTAGATCAGAATTCTTCTTGGGTGGATCTGGTTTATTTTTTATATTTGGTTTCAACTGTAAACAAAAAACAAAACCCACTCTTTATAACCATTCATAAAAAATTAACAAGAAAAATGAATACTAGTTAACTCATTAACTGTAACCAAATTAAATTCTCATCATAAGCATGTAGGACTAAGTCTTTACAATTTGCAGATTGATATGGGATTACTTGTTGCATAGAATTTAATAATAAATTGAAAAAATTAATATGAAAAATTTTTTCCAATTCTTTATTGATATCTAAACAATAGACAAACATGGCTACTGCTAGGAATCCTATGTTCTGCTAAAATGTTGAAAACTTTTGGAAAAGTTTAACATTTGTACCTGAAAAAAAAAAAAAAAATGAGTATCAAAAAAGTCTTTATACTGCTATTACTGTATATTCCTTCAGCAATTTTTATTGTTTTAAAAAATTATTTTTAGTATTTTACTAAAATCCAAACAAACGAAACTATATATTATTTTTTTTGTTGAGAAGTGACAATAAAAGTATTAAATACTATTCTTGCAATTAAACATTCTAATAAATAAATAGTGTTCAACATTTTTGACGGGAAAAAATATAAATCCAGATGCTTACAACTTATTTTATATATACAGTGTAACCCAGATATAAGAGAGTTGTCGGGACCGGAGAAGAAGTCTCTTATATCCGGGTTTCTCTTATATCCGGGTTTGGTCTAATTTATATACATTAACACAGGCTCTAATTTGGGACCAGAGAAAATCTCTCTTATATCCGGGTTACACTGTAACTTATTTATATATTGAATTTATCTGGCAAGAGAAAATGAAAGAAATACTCAGACATTTTTTTTTAAATGTATTATTAGAGTTTCTTGAAGTTATGTGTTTTTTAAATTTTCTTGTTCAGACATTTTTTTTTTTTTAATTCAGTCTAGTCTAGGTGAAGAAAAAACTGAATTCAAACCAGCCTTCAGAGAGTTGAACTCCAACAGACTATCTTGCCCAAGACATACCACTGCTACAACTGCAGTACATGTGCTACCCCTATAACCATAACGGGTTATGGGATTCTTGATCATAGTGTTAAACTTTGTCAACATTTTGTTGATAGAATGAACTACATTTATTCATTTCCTCTTGACAGCTGCCTTTGCTTTTAAATACCTAAATTTTAATTTTTCATTGAATGATATAAAAACAGTGTATATTAAGTCAGGAATTCCAGTGTTATAGATATTTAATCCATAAACAAGAGCTAAATATTGATGTAAACAAATATTTTTTGTTTTATTAAATACAAGTGACAAAGCCAGTGCTATCAAGAAACAGGCAGTCACAATGGAAATATATATCATACCCATTTAATATACACTACTGGCCAAAATCTTAATGTCAATGGGAATAAAAAAAAAAAAATACCATTTGCATTGTTATACTCAACCACTTATTTGAGTGAAGCTTCAAAGTCCATGCCTCTTTCCACACCACCAAACACTTCGGTTAAACTTTACTTAGAAGTGTCAAACATGCAACATAGAAAAGTGGAAGAAGGTTTTGTCCTCTGATGAGAAAAAATTTAACTTGGATGATCCAGATGGCTTCCAATGTTACTGGCATTATAAGGATATGCTACCAGAAACATTTACTACATGATATAATGCAAAAGGTATATTTTTTCTTTATTTTCATTGGGCTTAAGATTTTGGCCAACAGTGTATTTGTGACAAGAATTTTCCCTCCATGATTTGTTTTTAAAACTTACCTTTTTGGATTTTCTACTTTCTTTGACACTCTCATCAGAATCTTCTTCAGAAGAACTCTCTTCTTCACTTGAAGATGAATCATCTTCATCCTCATCATCCTCTTCATCCTCATCTTCATCATCATCTTCCTCATCTTCTTCATCATCATCATCCTCATCTTCACTGCTTTCAGCAGCATTATTTACAGCATGGCTGTCTCCAGATACTTCAGAATATTCTCCACTTGAATTCTCCTCATTGCTATCTTCCTCCTCACTGCTTTCATCACTGCTTTTACTCAATTCATCTGATCAAACAGACAATGTACATAGAAAATAAAAATTACAAATTTTCATAAAATGATCACTAATAAAATAAAAGTAATTCTATAGAATTTTACAGATAATTGTTTATTTAAAATTAATCAGTTTAGCTTTCTTTTAAGCAACACGGTACAAAACATACTGAACATTAGAAAATGAATTGATAAAAACATCTAAGACTGGTTGACTGATCTGTAGTGATTGTTGGTAATAGTGTTATGATTAACAAGTTAAAATTAATTTTTTTGGCATAACTAAATCTTGTTTATTTGTTGCATGAAAAACTTGTAAAATGTAAATGTTTTACTTTTGATGATCCACTCTTTGTGAAATTGGATTTTACTCCCCTGCTATACTTTCAGATAGTTAGTTTTTTTTTTTTTTTTTTTTAGAAACAAGAAATAGCATTCTTGAAGTAATGTAATATAATTTTTCTCATGAGAATCCATATTGCACATTTATAAATCTACAATTTATCTGTACATTGAATATTGCTACCATATCTGGTCTAGTGCTCCTACTATATATGTTGATATTCTTTACAAAGCCTTCTTTGAATTTTGTCATATAATCAATCCTGACCTGACATCTTCATTGCAGTTACTCTCTCACCAATGTGATGTGGCTTCCCTCTGTCTTTTCTACAAATATTTTCATGGCAATTGTTCTGAGGAGCTTTCTTCCTTGGTGCCTCAACTGCATTAATTTAAGCATGCTACTAAAATGGCAATTAGGTTTCACCACTTTACTGTTGAACTAGGCATATGTTCTCTTCTAATAGTTTCTTTTCTCACCTATAGAATTCTTTTCTGGTTTATTGTTTCCCTACCACTTACAATGTTCAAAAATTCATATTCAACAGCAATCATCATCATCATCATCTGTCTTCTTGAAACCTGTTCTTTTATTGTCTTTTCTCCCCACTAAAGTATTGTCATACTCTTTCACACCCAATAACCCCTTGTGTCCTTGTGGCATTATTGCTTTGCTTGGGGCAAAATGATTAAAAAAAAAAAAAAAAATAAAAAATAAAAATAGATAATTAAAATAGTGAAGAATTTTCTGATTTTTCCACAGCTACACTGCATTTACAAACAGCAGAGGGTGGGGTAATAAAAAGTAGTGGATTCCTTTCAAAAAGGGATTAAATAAAAATAATTTTTGCTTTTATTTATATCAGCAGGTAGTCTGATATGAGAATAATGTGCAATGACTTTCATCAAACTTCTGACAATAAATATTATAATTTTAAATTTGCAAACATTTTCTTACCATCTGGACTGGATTCATCATCTGAATAGAAATGTTCAGAGCTTGTACTTTTCTTCTTAGATTTTTTGTTATTTCGTGTCAAATCTGACCATGGCAAGGGAACTTCCACATTCCTGACAGAAGAATCAGGTGCCGTTTCTGGAAACTCTGGCAGTTCCTGATAGCCATGAGCTTTAGTATTCAATAAATGAGACAATGTACCCAACTGGTATTGATCTCGATCTGGACAAAGAAACAATCATCGATCATTGCAAAATAATAACATTTCAATTGATATCTATTAGGCAAGAATATTTTAACTGAATTACAGGATTTCAGATATCAAAATTATAGCTTCAAGAATTTTCTAGTTGACTGATCTCTTCAATTTATTGATGACTAAAATCAATAATAGCCATTAAAATGTTATCACACAAGAAGGTTGCGCTTATTCAAAACAACACTATTACTTACAGATATCCTTGATCTTTGCTTACAATGCTAAGCTTATTCAATATTTCCCTTTGAATAACAAATCTAATAGTAAAATATATTTACTATTTGTACATTAGTATACCAAGAGTAGTATTTTTTATATTTTAATTTGATACAAGTGGAATTAATGTTCCAATATTTTGAATTTATATTAGCTATTAATATTCCGCTTCATTTTCTCATTCAAAAGATAAGTATCAGGACTGGTGCTATAAAAAGAAAACTACAACACATGTTAATTAGGCATTTAATCTCCTTTGTAGTAGTCTCCTTTTGAAGCCACACACTTTATCCAGCATAATTTCCATTGATGGCAGCATTCCTGGAACTCCTATTTTGGAATAACAAGCAGGTGCTTCATCACATTCTCTTGGATTTCCTTAATGTCTTAAAATCTTGTCCCTTTCAAGTAGGATTTGATTTTTGAAGAAGAAAATGTTACAAGGGTGAGACCTGGGGTTTATAGACATTGTCAAACCTAGGGAACATTGCTCTTAGCCCAAAATTGCTGCACAAGCCATGGACACTGATGAAACCTCTGTAGTGTGTTGAGATGTCTACACACTACACACTTTCCTTCCAAGCCTTCCACTGCTATAAACAACAGAAATGAGTGAAAACATAACTTAGTGTGTATGTGACAGAGTTCAACATCAATCTGTCGTAAGCAGCTTCACTGAGTACATTAGCTCCGTTACCATAACAACAGTTCTGATACTTTTTCATAGGTTAGATAAAGAAAGTTTAGTTGCTTAAAATTAATGAAAATTATGTATCTTAAGAGAATAAGATTTTAGAAGGAGCTAAAGTATATTTTAACTAACCTTTGAATTTGGATTCTAAAACTGGAGCAGGTTTTGTTGCAAGAAATATTTTTTTGATATATTTAGAAAGTATTCCAGCCTTCTCTCCTGAAGGTAGCACAAGTTGTCGAAGGAATCGTGAACGATCACGGATATCATAATTTTGGTCATACTTGGCCAAATTGAGGACATATTGGCAGAGCAACTTAGTCTGTTTGGGGTTGGTGATGCACATTTTAGCAGCAAGGTTCAAAATCTGTAGCTTCACAATGTCTTCCTATGAAAGCATAAAAAAAGAAAAGAAAAAGAGAAATCAATAAACTTCAGACTAATTCTTTAATTAGTCGATTTAGAAAAAGTCAATTATTTTTTTAATCATTTCATCCCAAACAAGGTAATAAAGCCACCAAGACAGTTGGGGTATAAAATGTAAAACCCATGTAAATAACAGTGTAAGCATACACCTGCAACCCTTGCTCCACAACGTGTTTCAATTCTCATTTGTGTCAGTGCAAACAAAAACTGGAGAAGGCCGATTGTATGTATACAAGGGAACAAAAGGTGAAATATTGTCACAGTAAGAAAAGTAAAGACAAATTCTGTTTTCAATATAATGGGCTCTTTATTCACGAATACACTTAGCATCGTCTAATACTGGAGATATCTTCACTGTTATTTCCGTCTTCTCTTACAATAGACTAACAGACTAGATTTCCTTTTGGCCAGCAAGAATTCCAACACTACCATCACTCATACCCATGACTCTACACCTCTACCATCAACTTGTCACCAGCCAGCAATGGGTTCATAACTGACTTTATCTAACTATGAGTGCCTATATAAACACATGTCTAGAATTCCCCACCTTCTGCTTAAGTACCACTTGATCCTAACATTTTTTTATTTATTTATTTACTTCATTTCCTTTTTCCCTACTTGTAGATGACTGGAAGTTGCTTTAAAAGATGTCACTTGTAGACTTTACTGCTCGTCATAAAATATCAATTGCTTCAAGCTCAGATAAAATTATTTACTGTCAACTTTACAATGTGGGTAAACAGTTCATGGCCAGAATCTACTGTGTCATAGCAGAATAATAACTGTGTCAAGAATTTAACCATGAAAAAGACAATTGGGATATGTATTATGGAACCTTCCAAATTGAAAAGGCTCACTTCACTTTTCTACAAATGGCTGTATCCACTGAGACTAAATAAAGCTGATTTTTCTACTTCAGGGAATCCAAAAACTATTGGGTTCCACTTTAAACACAACATTTTACCATGTTCTTCTTGAGTGGGCATGCAAATAAATATGGCCCTTTATCAATTGCAAAAAGGTTCTTTCACAACTTTATAGATGGGTTTCATTCAACATACAATAGATTTCAGGTGCCAAGCAGCAGTTCTTACATTGCACTAAGTGGGATGATTAGGATCAATTCCTGATGTTTGTGGCACCCAAATAGGGAAGTGCCAAGGGAGCTGAACAATTTTTGTTACCAATATACATGCAGGATTCCCACTTTAAACATGGCTTTGTATCATATTCTGCTTAAGTGGGCATGAAAATAGAGACTGTTCTTTGCAATTACCTATTAAACTTATTCTACTATGAACTAAGAATTATCTATTTACTAATATTCTTCTTGTTGTTTGCCTACTTTAGCTTTAACAATTAGTCATGTCTGACATGGAACAAGTTGGCGAATGAAATAAATCATTAAAAAACATTCACTTCCATTTTGTTTGTACTTCAACTACTACACTTCTGTGAAGATAATTGGTGCAAACTACCCATCACTTTTCATTTTACTAGAAGAACTTCTGATCACTAATAGATTCCAAGAATTTTAACACTGTAACTGGGGGAAGTCACCTGTTAAAGGCTGAAAACACCACTGGAGGAGGCTTTTATAATTAAAACAAATTAAAGCAGATGAGAAAAATAATGAATAGTTAGATTGAATAGAGATTGGTGAGAGAAAGAAACAATTAAGAATTTTAATTAGAACCCATAAGGGAATAGTGGAAACAGAGATAGCAAAGACTGAATGATCGTTTAACTTATCAGGATTGAGTAAATCCAGCATAACTAAAACTTATCTAACCCCCTTCAGCACACATAGTCGAGTTGGTTAATATAAATGAAACTGTTTTGTGTTTCATACTATTCAGATAATTCTATGTTGAATTATAGGGAGGTTAAAATTCTGGATCTTGGGTCACTTGTCAGCATTAGGGATATCTAGTTTTTGGACAAAGAAAGAATTTTGGGAACCAGAGATTAATTGCAAGATATTAGTTGTACATCAATGTCAAGGTAAAGGTAAATTGACTTTTTAAGGAACACACATGATGTGATAAAATAGAAGGCCCACTGAAAGCCATTAAGGTCTATAAGTCATGTAGACTATGAATGAATGAACACAGACACAATTACTACACTGCAGTATTGTATCCATGTAATAAGAATGTTATAAACCTCAACATGATTTTCTTACCAGCTACCCATACCCTTATAATAAAAGGGTGTTGAATGTTAAACAGATCTTGGGGGTCATTATTGATTGTACACAAGAATTTATGGTATTCCATAACAAGAATCAAGAGGCTGAAGAAACCTTTATGTCATACCATAAATCCATGAACACACAACTAAACAATCTAATAATTTATGATCTGTTGAAAAGACAAATCACCAGTGTGAGAATCAATAACCCATTTTTGTGCAACGTTGTAAATCAAGATTAAAATAAATATGAATTTTCAAAATATATACTAAGTCTAGTACAAGGCCACAAGTGTGAGACATTCAGTGAGTATCAAATGACAATAGTAATGATCTGATAAACTAGTTCACTAATATCATATGGAAGACACCCATATAAACTTTCAATAATATAGCATTGAGCAAATAATCTAACACTGAATAAGTTGTACTGCAAAGCCATTTGTCTCCATTTACATCACATTTGAATTTCACAGCTTGAACAAATTAAGATCAACAAATAAATTTAAAAAAGATTGGGTAAGTATAATATCAAGCAAATTGGGGTTGCATGCATTTGCTAATTAGATAGCAATTCTGCTACAGATATATATATGTAATAATATACAGCAGCAATGAAACTCATAACTACTCTGACAACTTCATAAACTTAGAAGTTGTGGTCACTGATTATTAAAAGATTTATTCTGATGATAGATGCACAGCCAACCAATTCAAATATATAACATATTATTGGAGGCAAGTTTTTTTTGATTAAAACATTTAAAATCTGTTTTAAAGAAATATACTAAACTGTAGTTAGCCTTTTCCTGTGAATTAGTAACTTTATGTAAACTTTATGGAAATATTAACCGTTCCCCTACAAGGAAACACTTGAGATTCATTGACTGAGTAGGCAATACTGCTGTTGATTGAAATTTATAAAAACTTTCTCGTAAAACTATTTTTCAAGAAAATAGGTTTCTCAAATCCAGAGGCTGTTATCACTCTTTCCCAGTATCAACGAGGGTTTTCTTTCTATTTTTTTTATTTGAAATAGTGTGGAATGTTAACATCTTGATTATATCATTATTTTCTCTAAGTTACATATGCTATCCATTTTAGTTTTTGCTGCTGTTGATAGTCTTCAAGACCCACAGTCTTCACCCACTCAAAGCCATTTTTAACTATCAATCTTAGAAAGCAGTTGTATGTGGTTGTTGTGTCGGAAACCTACCACCCCTCTTGAAGATGAACTTGTCTGCATCTGTGAACAAAGACTTTAAATAGTGGCATGTCAGTTGACATGGGGTGAAGACAGATAGGCAGAGAAGTTCTTAGCTGAGCTAGTTATTGACTACTCAGGCGATTTCTGTACCTTTTTACCAACCTATTAAAACCCTTTTTATTGTTACGTGTTATTTGGCGTTTGTCTCTACTAACCCCAAATCAACATCATAACAGTGGTTGACAGATATTCCTGAATGGGTTTAGTGCCATGCATGACATCTCTATGAAAGTCTCTATCTGAAGAGGATATTTAAGAATGATTTGAGTTTTCAGGTTAATATTTTGTTTTTGTAGCAATTTGCGGTGTTGGCTGAAACTACTTCTAGTGCAGTCTTTTCAATGTTCAATGTCCTTATCGCCTATACTAAATTTGTTATAACTGATTCATACACCGTGATATTTTAAGTGTTTGGTGTTTAATCAACAAGTAAAAAAACAAACTAAATCTTTAACTCAGCAAAGCAAGAGAACAAATCTAATCAATGGTCAAGTACTGGTGTAAGAATGAACTCTATCAAAAACTTGCCACTGCTTCAGCAAAAGTATCTTTGTGGAAAAGAAAGTCTAATGTAATTCACAAACCTCACTGACGAATCCTTTAGCCATTTTTCGAAGCACGTCTGGGGCAATTTTAGGCACTCGTTCACTGTATTCACCAATCAGCCACAAAATACTTGCTCGTGCCATGGGTACTGTGATATTGTCCACCATTTTGGCCATATGAATGATAATGTCTTTGTGTTCAGAAGGCTGGAAATGGACAAGGGAAAGTTAACATATGGAAAGATGCATTGGAAGTTATAAAACAAATACTTCAGACAACAAATATTTTAAAATTATAAATAGCAATACTGTTAAAACAAGAAAAGCTGCAACATTCATAAAATATTCACAGATTAATATAAATTTTTATTTGAATAGAATATCGTCATAAGTGGTTAATGCCGAACAGGCAAGAATCACTAGATCTTATAGATAATGCCTTTACTTGCTTTTATCACTTGAATTCAAACTAAGTGTAGAATGACTGGAGTTATTTATTCCCCAAATATATATGCTTTTTGTATAGACAATCTTTCTTTCAAAATCTGTTACCAGTATTAAATATTCATAAGGAGAAGCATGTCTGAATTTCAAAATATCATTTTAAAAATTATCAAAGCTAGAATAAAAATGATCCAGCTAAAGGAAAAAAAATGGGGCAACTAAGAGAGGAAGTAGAAAGACATTGTTTAATATTAGCAGAATGAAATTCTCATATAACAGTTTTTGCCTTAACAAATATCACAATTCTGTTTTAAAACTAAAAAGTGATATGACAGGTTTTCTGAATTAAACTTTTTTTTTTGTAAAATGATAAAATTATTCTTTTGAACAAATTTCCTTATCTGTTGTCATTATCATGTTTCAACTGTTATACGCAAGCCTTCCTCGGGTGTCTGTCATATATCATAATCTTGGAATTTTGAACAAAAGCCTCCATTTGATCTATAGGGATAAGTTGTCTTTATTATTTTACTTGTCATGTTCAGAATTCATAACTTTTGAAACTTCTTTATGATACCCGATTTGCTTCTTAACTGAACCTTGCACTATCAGAACCAACTCAGTAAAGATGCAGAGAGTAAAACTGACAATGAAAACTTCTGAAATTCCTCCAAGATTGATTGTTTTTTTCTTAAAGCTGATCAAGCCAGAAAATACTTTTAGGTTGTAAGAATTTTTTGGAGATAATCATTTACTCATACAAATCATACTAATTAATCCATAGCAGAGGGAAGAAGTGGATTCATACCTTTCCCAAGAGTATTTGCATGTAAGTGAATATAATGAACTCAACTGGAATTGGAACTCAGCTCTCCAATTTCTAATTCTGAGCCATCATCCATTACACGACCCACACATCCAATCATACAGCACCTGGTATTCCCAAGTGGTTACCTATCTGGTTACTGACCAGGCTCAACATTGCTTAACTTCATGATCATATGAGAACTGGTATTTCAATGTCATAAGGCTGTAAGCCCAATTTCTTCAGGACACCAAACATAATCAGTCAAAACAATAAGAATATGTATATCAAATAAAGAATTCTATTGCAAAGTTACTGCTTATGACAGACAAATGAGAAAGGCTTGTAGGTTCAGTGGCCAAAATGTGATAAAGATTAGGAAATTGGCCCGAAAGTATCTTTGTATAATATTAACGACTTATCTCAAAAATTCAGAGAAAAAAAAACCCCCAAAAAATGTCTAAATTTATAAGTGCTTTTCTGCTATTTGATGAATGGCTAGGCTTTGTTCAATGAAAGATGCTTCTGACAACAATGGGGATAGGAACTTTAACTGTCAGTGTTTGTCTTACACTTCTTTTTATCTAACAACAGTAAAAATCATTTTTCTTTATGTTCTGTATCATTTTTACATTTATTCCTTATCTCTCAGAAAATTTGTGGCATGTTTTCAGATTAACTATTCAGCTTTAAAACAACAAAAAGGTAATTTCAAGAAAATGTAAGAAAATAAAATTCTATAGAGAAAGAAATTGTAAATTTAATGAAAGTTTTTTCTTTTTTTATTTTTCAGAATATTTTAATCAGAAGATTCTCAAAAATTGTTTGTCCAAGTCCATTACTGAAGTTCATTCAACAACTCCTCCCTATCTTATCTCTTTTCATCCAACTTCTGTTAAGGGCAGGTAATCTCTCCTTTATCCAAAAAGGAAGTAATGAAAATACCAGCATTGTTCAGGTGTTTGGGCGAACATTTTCTAAATCAATGTGATTAGTTTTATAATACTCTACACAAAACTTAATATTTCTCCAAAAGATAACTGAAAAACATCAAGACAAAACTTTAAAAAAAAGAGATACAACTCCATTGTTTTTATTCTGATTGAATAAACATGAAAAGATTAGCTTCTTTATATCAATCAATAGCAAGCTAGGATATTGTTAGTTTTCATTAAATTATTTAAGACTAATTTTTAATTGATGAAAGCAAGAATCACATTTCTATAAAACAGATTATTTTATAAGAAAGATTTTTGGTCAAGGGCTTTCAAAGTTATTCTAAAACACATACTGAATTATTAGATGAAGCATTGTCAACCATTATTAATTTTTTACTAGTATTTCTTTCATTTTAATTTCACTTGAATTTCACATCTAGTAGTAATATTTTGAATTATATTTTAGATGGAGCATTGTTAACCAGTGTTGATCAGAAATAAGGACTAAGTTCTTTATAGAACTCAAACTCACATCTTTTATTTTTAATTTATCTCTGAAGAATTATATTTTACCATGATAGCTCTAACCATTTAAGAGAGTTAATGGTTGGCAGAAGACCAAATCTAAAACTTATTCCTTACTTTTTCCAGTTACTCAGTGTCAACATATTTGATGTTATTGCTTAGTTTACATATATCAGTATTAATATTAACTTTAATTTTTATTAGCAGAAGCATTGTCAACTATTATTGATTTTTTTTTTTAGTATTTCATCTTAATTTAATTTTCATTCAATTACTCAGACCATAAATATTCTATTTAAGCAAAAACATCAAATATGGTAGCACTGAACAATCATGGAAAAATGAAGAATAAATTTATATGATTAAATTTTGATTTTATCTTTTGCCAACTGTCAGCTCTTGTATTTAAACTGATCAGGCTAAGTGAATGTTGAGATGTTATTCTTTACTTCTGATCTGTATTGTTTAATAATGGGTGTAGAATTACAATCTGAGTAATTGCAATAACAAAACAACTGAAATTAACACAAGAAAAATACTGATCAAAAATTAATAATGGTTAACTTAGGAAAATATTTTATACATTTATTAAAAACTCATCAGGTTAACAGCAATTTCTTATAGCATTTTAACTTGGCAGAAATTAAATGTCAAATGATAAAAACATTTTCTTCATATTGATCATTTAAACTATAAGCAAATGAATAAAAACTTTAATTCTTATACCAAAGAAGATAGCAACTTGCAGCAATCTGAAATTTGGGTACATGATTTATCAAAGTAATTCAATAAAGTAATTTCCTCCACCAAACCATACCATTATTGCATAAATGATATAAAAAAAGAGAGACTGTTAAAGAGGGTATGAAAAGAAGCTGCTCTACACCAAATATAACAAATTTCAAAACAATCATTTTTATATAATATGTAAAAGTTTTTTTGGGTTTTTTTTCGGACAAGAATGGCTTCAATTTGAAGTTACCAAGCTTCTCATTTTGGTTTTTCATATAAATATATATTATAGTAGTAAAATCAAAAAGGTAATTACTGAAAAAAGTGGCTGAATGCAATGCATACCAACAAAAATGATTAAAAAACAAAAAAACAAACAAAAAACAGAACATTTTATTTGGAGAATAGTTTATATATTTCCAATTTAAATTTTAAAATGGATTGTGTTACTTATAAAATGAAACTAGTTTGGTTTGATTTTTCTTGTTTAATGGCATATCAACCACTGTAGGCCATCTTAGTACAAAATCCTTTATTTAGTATACTTATGATTTGTAAAAAAGTTTGTAATTAACATGAGATGAGCTTTTGCTTAATGAGGTCTTAAAGGAAATTTTTTTGGATTGTCAGAGTTTACATCTTTGACAAATACCTAGTTGACAAAATAGAAAACAAAGAGAAATAGTGTGTATGTGTACATGAGAGAGAGACATGAGAAATTGTGAAAAGCAATAATTAGAAGGTCTTTGTATTATAAAGTGACAGGATGAAACACTCTCCACCCATTACATCAACCGTCATTAAAGTCAAATTTTGACCAATCAAAAACTGTTTCTTTTTTCATTTAAAAGGTGTTTTTGATAACCATCATGTTCTGTACTTGTTTGTAAACTATTAACAACAAAATAATGATAAAATCATACCTATGTTTATATTTTGTTTTTCTTATGCTAAGTGAATTCAGTCAAAATTATAGCAATTAAAATTATAAATTCTGATAAGTAAAACAAAAAAAAATTAAGGTGATTTGGTTTCATTAAATTTATTTATAGTAGAAAAAAATAGTTGCATGTTAGAGATTCAAAGAAATTTCATCAATGTTATCTTTTTTTTATTAACAATATTTTACCAAGTTTGATTTCAGATTCTGATATTTGCTAGATGATATGAGTTTGGGATTTTAGTTATTACATGAATAAATATTTTAAATATATATATATATACAGGGCCAGATGTAGGCCATAAAAAGCCCCTGGGCTAATAGAATTTTGGGGCCCCTTCATTATGTATGTTTGCCCCTGTGCCTATATATATATTAGTTAAACCTAGAGAGCCAGACAAACCTACCAAGGTTTCACCTAAGCGGATTGTCAGAGAAGGCTTATACTTATAAGATTACTACTACTAATAATAATAATATATATATATATATATATATATATATATATATATATATATATATATATATATATATATATATATATATATTATATATATATAAGATTTTTTAGATGATGCTTTTTTTGATGTAAAAACATGAAACACTTCAACAAAATTATGCAAAACTAAAAAATGCTATATCCAAAATTTATATGTATATAAAAAAAGATGCATCAAAATCTAAATAGGGCTCCTTCAAGGGGCCCAATTAAATTTAAAAGACCCACTCCAACTATAGGAGCTCAAATACTTTAAATTGTTTAAAATTAGCTCAAAGGAGCCCCATTAAATCTGAAAATAAACAAATCCCCTCTGTTCTTATATCATTATCATTTTTTAGTTTTATCAGAGGCCCAAGATTAGAAGGTCCTTGGACAGCAGCCAATGCTAGTCCATATGTAAACCTGACACTATGTATATATCTGCATGTCATTTTATTTTACCTAATTTAAAATTGAAAAAAAGTTGACAAATAGTAGAACAATATTTATAACTGATCTATTTTGGACATTAACAAGAGACATAAAAATCTAACAATAGAGTTGTTTTATAATGTAGAATGAAGTGCATTTTTTTTTTCAATAATAAAAACTAAATTCATGGTTGATTTAAAAGAAAAAATTGATTTGATAAAAGAAGAAAACATTGTGTAAATAGAAACTTCAGTTATGAAGATGGATAAGTCAGTTAAATTTTTAACTTATTTTCTCATTTTAACATAAGCCAGACAGATGGATTTGTTAAAAAACAAACGCTCTGTAAATAAGAAATATGATTTCACAACAACTTGTTTAAAAATCTGAAATTACATAAATACTTAAATAAATAAAACACCCAAAAGGAATGTTTACTGTTTATCCAATCGTACCTAAGGAAGTTGATCACTGAAGAACACAGGAAATATCTAAAGTAGAAACTTAAACCTTTAATTGTGCTTAACCAAATTGTAGACTGAAAATAGATTGGCTTCCCAAACAGACTTGTAAATTGCAGTCCAAATAAAGCTGATAATACAATAATGTTAAAAACAAATTCCACTGTATGGGAATGGTAAAGTCTTTTTTTTTTTTTTTTTTAAAGATTTATAAGATAATAACTTTAAATGAAGTTCCATGCTGACCAATGAAGAAATAGGAAAAACAAATTGACAAATAAGAAATGGATAAAATAGAAATTATTTCACTGAAGAACACAAAATACAACAAAACCACTAAAAAGACAGCAAAATTAACAGAAAGTGCACATCTACCTGCATTGGTTTCTCATTGTGGCCTTTGAGAGGGAAGTGATATTTTTGGGAGATTTTTTTAAAATTTACCAGAGAATAATTTCTTTGATATTTTTCCCCCAACTCAGTGCTTTGAGTATCCAACATTGAAGAAGGTGTTGAAGAAGTCAAAATAAGCAAAAATTGGAAGTTTTAAATTTAATTTATGCTAAAAAAAAGTGGGTAAAATTAATTAAAAAAAAATATGTAGGAAAACTGATCATGGCAAGACATGCAATCAAATAAAGAGACTTAAAATATTCAAAAAGCAGCCAACCAATCCCAACAGCAGGAAAAAAACTGTAGAATGCTTCTG